CCCCATTTGAAATCAGTACTACTGAAATGATGTACATACCATACATCAAAATAAAGTTGAGATAGATTACATGGTTAAAAATAAAACCTGTATTATTGAAAACTGCAGGACAGGTTAACTAGATAAACTGTAGAGGAAAGAAAAATTAATTAGCTTTGAAGCAATGAGTTAAATCATGAAATAAACTGACATATTTAAAACTATAAAAAAAAAAAAAACTCCTAGCAATGGAAAACATTTAAACAACAACAACAACAAAAAAATAAAAAGCAATAGACAAAGTATGTCCCAGCTCTGACAAGTGGTTACTGCTTATACTCTATAAAGAAATTGACTCAAATTAGTAAGAAATGTAGGCTCACATAAGACAAATGATATGAACAAAGAAATCATAATTAATAAAATCAACTTATGAAATGTTCCTAATAACCAGAGAAATACAAACCCAAGCAATTTATGACCTTTAGCATTTTCTAAAGTAGTAACACTTAATAAAACAATAGCCTCTCCTTCTAGTGATTCTGTAGTGAAACTAGTCTTCATTGTCAGGGGCTTTCTAAATTGGCATTATGAATTTTCTGGAAAACAGAATGGCAACCTACAGCAAGGGCCATAGATAAACGTACTCATTGTCTCGGTGATTCCCCCCTCAGATGCCTATCCCAAGGAAACAGGTCATTGGAAGGGAAAAATCAAAAAACTATGAGGTCAACGCTATTCATGAAAGCAAGTTTTCATAATTTCTAACAGCAAGAAGTTAGAAATAACTCAAGTGCTGAACCTTTGGGGGAGTTATTTAAAAAATTACACAGTATTGACATTATAATAAAATATGATGCAATCAATAAAATCAATAAAGGCTCTGTAGAAGTTTAAGAAAATGTATGCAGTTTTAGATGAATAAAGCAATCCACAAAATATTATGTATACCATGTTGCAAGTATAAGAAATAAATGTAAGAAATGTGTAAGCATGTGGAAAGTAGTATGAACTTGGTTTATGGGATGATCGTGGTTTATTACAATAATTTTGAGATTTCTTAGTAGGTACATTTTCTACTCAATAAAAAATAATCTGAAAGAAATAAATATAGAACCAAAACACAGGAGACAGCATCTAGGGAAAAAACAACTTTCAACAACTGTGAAAAGTGTGGACAGGGGAGTGATAGCGATAGGTGGGCATGTGGGACAGAGGGAACGTCCCAACCTCAGGGATTAAGGCAGTTGGGTTAGTGCTCATTGTCCTAAAAGAGGGACCCTTGGCTGGTGCCATCTCTCAGTGACATGAGTGGACATGATTGCAAGCTGGAGAACGGACAAAATGACCTTTTAGAAGGCTCTACTGGCCCTGGAAACTTTATGATGTCCTGAAATCCTCTGGCTGGGGACAGTTTTTTCTCCTGAGCTGGTCTGGCCTTTTTTCTTTCAGAAAAACCAGGCAGATGCTGTGAGTCTCGACAGCGGTTTGGTGTTTAAAGCAGGCCAGGCCCCTTACAAGCTGAAGCCTGTCGTGGCCGAGGTCTACGGGTCCAAAGAGCGTGAGTTTTCCTGGGGACCCAGAAACCGGCCACACCTTGGAATTGGTCTGGGCTCTGTGGAGTCAGGGCGGATGAGCACGCCAAGGCAGGGGCTCGGCTGGCATCACACTTGCAGGCAGCCAAGTCGCTGGGCTTGTTGGACCAGATGAGGTCATCCCTCCTGATGCTGACCTTCCAGGAAGGACGGTGCCCTCCCTGGGGAGACAGAGCAGGTGCCCAGCTGCTCCGTACCAGACAAAACCAACGGCCTTCAGTTCCCTCTTCCTGCCTGCGGAATGGGAGGGGCGGGCTGTTTCTCTTCCTCTGGTTCAGGATAGGAGGCTCCAATCCTTTCTGCTCCTCTGCAGAGCCACAAACCCACTATTACGCCGTGGCTGTGGTGAAGAAAGACACCAACTTCCAGCTGAACGAACTCCGAGGCAAGAAATCCTGCCACACGGGCTTCCGCAGGTCTGCCGGGTGGTATATCCCTATTGGGACACTTCGTCCATTCTTGGAGTGGACAGGGCCACCTGCAAGTCTTGAGAGTGGTAAGATGGCTGCGGGATGGTGGGTGTCAGGCAGGGGTCTCCACTCTAGCTGCACACATAGGCCGCTTTG